TTTTTAATATATATTTAACTTCCTTAAACTAGACTATTGTTTGTAGAACTAATGTTTTTATTCAGATTAAAAATCCAATAAGGTTCCTGGTCATAAAGCAACAAAATAGAAAGATTACCAAGGACGGATACTTTTGCAACCCACTGGGTATCCTCCCTCAGGTTTTTTATGGGCTCGTTAGTTATCAATTTTGGGTCATAAGCAAAACGGTTTTAAAAATTCTGCTGCTTTCCTCAATTTTTAAATGGTTCAGGACCTTATTCCATACCTCAAGCATTTTTTTAGAGCAATCCCCCCCCCCCCCATTTGTTCAGCTTGTTTAGTAAATAACTATTTATATATTTTTTAAATGTAAATATTTAACTCTAGTAGCAGATTCTACCATAAAACAATCCTCTTTCTTTTTGTTCCCGAGCTCAGTTTTAGATTTTAAAAAAATTACACGTTAAGAGTGAATTCACTTTACGGAGATGAAAAATAGTTCGAGTTATTGATCCCTACAATTTGCCATGACGATACCCAACTAATGAATCACGGCTTTAGGGAAGGGTTCCTTGAGCAAAAAGCAAGTTGTTGCTTGCATTCAGGCATGCTGGAGGCAGGGTAACAGCCAGAGAGAAAGTCATGACAAGTCATGCCTGCAGACTAAAATAAATAAATACTTGGCAAGGTAACAACATAAAATAAAAGCTAAAGTATTAGTTTTTCATTTCTGGTTTAAGGGAAAACATTTGCATAATAAATTCCAACAAGATAACACCTTCAAGATTACATGCATCACTTTTTTTTCTTAAAGGAAGTGATGCTCGGGTAAGACTTTCAGGAAGTGACACTCTAGTAACTTAAACTAAGGCCTTTAGTCCCAGTCCACAGATCTGAAGTCAGCTGGACTTTATAAATACTGCATGCTTTCAAGGAGTAGGTGTTATATATGCTGCTATATTTACCACTATTAATGACAAGAGTTATATTTTTTTATATATATCAGTCATTAAATAACTCCTCACATACTTCAGACTTTTATCTGAGACTTCTATCTGTATTCAGTCTATACGTGCTCCCAGCATGCACCATTTTAAAATAAACAATCTTTATTCGCAAGTTCAGTTGTATTTTAAGAAAACATAAAACTTGGATTTGGTGTTTCTTTTCATCAAAAGACACAGTTACAGCAAATATAAGCAGTTATGTATAGCTAAAACTGTGAGGGTGTGATTACACAGTCACTGCAGAAATTAACTACAACCCCCCCAGTAATAACAGAAGATACACTCTCAGCCACAAAAACCTGAGCAGATTCAAGCTCTTTAAATGTCTTCCTGTGAAATTATCAAAGATGGATTTGTTGTTACTCTCAATTAAACTCATCACTGCTCAGTGGGTTGAAGAGCTGATCAGCGTGTTTGTGTGCCTGCAGAAGCAGCACCTGGGCGTCCTGGGAGGCCTCTGGCTCCTGCAAGATTCCTCCCAGTTCCCGGGCCATCGTCTCACGTTCGCTGTCCGGTATGACCTTTCTCAGACGAGACTGAAGGAAACAAAACGTGTTAAAAAGGAATTTTATTATAATCAACACTTACAACTCAGAGCAGTAATGTTATGATGTAACTGCATTTCTTAAGATTTAAAAAAAAATATATATATATATTGCAACAGCACAGACGTTTCACAACAGAGACCGTGCTTAAGGTTTCCTGTTAAACTTTAGAGGAAGAAGACTCAATTTCATATCTTAGTTACAAAGTGGCAGTCTTGTGGCTAAAAACAGCTGTTGTGCAACATTTATTAAGTGCTTTCTGCAGCTTCTGTGCTCACCTCTAACATTGTTTCCTCTTTGTGTGGAGGGACAGAGGGAAGCCTGAGAACAGCTTGACCAGTTAACTCCAAAATCTGCAAGACAACAGAAAATAATAATACAGATTAATTTATGTGGGTTGAACATCATTTCACACTTTAATATCTGAAAATCTGCTCATCTGTGCAGCTGGAAGGGATGGCTTTGTTTCCTGTAAAAATCAGACCCGTTTTCTGTAAGATCCTGCACAAAAGCCACATTTCAAAATGCCTTTTAATCAATCTGCAAAACACTTAAAAAATAATAATAATAAAGATATGACCAGGCCTATTCAATAAATCGACTGGCGGGCTGAATGTGGACCTTTGTTAAATTTCATCACCCCTCACAAAGTTGTTAGAATGCCACACCACTTGGTCTGAATATAATCTGAAAGTGTACACATCAGAGCTACTTCTATACGTTGTTGGCTAATAGTTCTGTTCAATAAAAGCTCAAAGAACGTGATTCTGGGAAAACAGTAAAACTAAAAGTTAAAACTCATTTTCATTGTTTCAGTTTGTATTAATGACCAACTCTGATCCAAACATATTTATAAAAAGAAAAAACACTAAAAAGGCATTATGTTGTGGTGTTTATAAAATGATTGCAGACATCAGAAGAACACAAAAAAAAAAAAATCCCATAAATTAAAAACGCAAAAAGCAGTATTTATGGGCTGTTATTATAAATAACTAATAAATTATTTCACTAGTTTGCGTTTTGCACCTGTTTAGCTTTGTCCTCTTCCTCCTCCAGCTCATCTCTCAGCCGACTGCATGTTTGCTCCAAAGACGCCATCTTCTCCTCCATCATTTCCAGAGCTCTGACGACAGCCTTCAAGTCTCTCTGAACACACAAAATACAAAAACGTATCAATTAACACAAACGTGAACAATCTGATTTTAAATAATTACATCATTCGGAGGATTGCAACCACTAACAGCTGAACTGGTGTGGCTCGGTACAATGGCAGCACTATTTTGGCTCTAGTGTCAACAAATAAAAGAGCGACGATAACTCCGAATGCGTCATAGTTCATTGCACATCACGGTAATGTACGACGATGACCTGGTTCACTATATTCCTTTTTTTAAGATGTGCAGATAGATTGGGTCGTGTTAGTCTGGGCAAGAGATGGTGGCAGCATGCTCTTTGGGAGGAAGACAAACTTTCTGAAGTGGTGTGATGCTTTGGGAAGTGATCTGCTGGGAAACTTTGATTCATGTTGATGTTGTGTTGAGATGCAGCACCAGCCTAAACTTTCAGCCTAAGAACATCCCTGAATGGAGAAGGCCTTAGCTGATGGAAGCAGCCGCTCGAAGTGGGATACTATGTCCTGACAAAATCACGCAATCAAACACAATCAATGTGTTGATATGAACACCAAATCCTCCAGATCTTAATCCCAACGAGAAACGGTGGGTTGAGATGGACAAACAAGGTCGATCCACGATAACTTAGGCCCAGATACTTTAGCAAACCTTCGGAAGAACAACTGATTGGAAAATCTTAATATCAGAAAATAGAAATCAGATTCAGGATCAAAGGGATATATATTATTTTCATCTACCGGCAGTTTTCTTTATTTTGCCATGTATTACTACAGCTACAATTATTGGTAAACTTTTATATGTTTAATAATATTTTTGTTTGTTTGTTAATTTAGGTTTAGTCTTTTCACAGCATTTTGGGTTGTTCAGTTTGAAAAACTGAGGATAAACTTTAACAACCAGTTGACTGGTTTTCAGAAACATCTACGTGTTGTCCTTGGGTCAAGACAAATGCTGATACCGTCTGAGGTGGCAAAACATTACAAGTCCCAAATTGTTTGTAGGGATCTATATTCAAAGATTCAAGGTTCTTTATTTGTCATTCACACCACATGTGGTACAACGAAATTGTGTACACAATTTTCTTACCGTAAGAACGGCTCTCTGCACCGGCCAGAGCCGGCTATCTTCGACCAGCCGAAGAATAGCGGCGCTTCAAGTCATCGGCTGGTCTCTGATAGCCGGCTCCGGCTGGTGCAGAGAGTCGTTCGCTACCGGAAAGAGGTGCAGCTGAACCGATAAGCACAAAAAAATATATATAGAAACCGTCCAGATGACCTGGCTGAACTTTGTTGGATTTTATACATGGATTATTGAGCACGGACTTTGGTGCCTAATGCCCAATATTGTTACATTTGAATGATTTTTTTTCCCTTCATATTGTGTTAAATTGAGACTGCAAACCGTCTTTATTTCAGAAAAAGATGTTTTACAGTGTATACAAAGACTGAATCCGAGGCAAGAACATTGTTCTTAGACACGACTTAACCTTGTTAGATTTTTCTACCTGGATTATTGAGCAGCATCAGGACAAGAACATTGTTGCTCCTTTCTTATGGTGTTCATTTTAGTAAGACTAGCTAGATACAGAGTTAAGCTTTAAAATAAATTTGAGCTGACGAAAATGTCTCTTTTGTATGTAAACAGTCAAAACAAAAACTAATATCAACCAAGAATAACCAAATGTATGGAACCGTGGGTCTGAAAATAAACTTTTCATTTCTAGTTCAGGACATACTACCATTAGAATATTTTGAAACGTGTACAAACAAGATTTTCTACTTTTGAGCTCTGAAGGTTAGCGCTTCACTCTAAAATGGTTTCCATACCTCAAGCAAAGGCAGACGAGCTGTGCTGCACCTACAGCACATCACATCTGCATAATCCACTACCCTTCTAAGACTCAAACTTCATTTGCCCAAAGGATATGAAGTCCTGGAAAACCCTTTTTGAGAGCTGCCCATATCAGACAACATGTGCCAAGTTAGACATTGAAATGGACTTCCCAAATGGTGACATGCCACTTTGTTACAAGCCTCTTCATGATGAAGAGAGACATCAGTGCCGTTGATGCTAAAGATAGTCTATAATAAGTCAAAAGGGGACCCATCAGAAAGAAAGAGATCTTCTAGGCACAAAGCTTCTCATTCCAGCATGTACAAGGAAAAATGCATCTTTCTCTGAGAAATCAGGCTAGTACCGGTACTTGATGGGCCAGAAAACCAGCTAATCTCTGACTATATGTGCTGAACTGCATGACAATGAAAAAGTGCAGAGAGCTGCAACTAATAAAACGGAGAAGATACTTGCTATTCTCAGCAGAGAACAAGTGGCAGCAGAAGTGCACTATTAGAGGTCTTGCTACCGTCGTTACACTAAAGATGCAGACGCTAAAACATCTACCAGTGCTGATTTATCATCAAGTGCTTCTGACAGTCATGGTCCATAAGAGACTGTAGAGAAACAGTCCTATGATGAACCCTTCTCTATTAACAGAGAAAACCTGTTTGTCAACCCTGCTGTGATGACAATGACTGATCTAATTTCTAATCTTGTTCAACAACCTTCAGCATGCATCATTGATGGAATGAACCTTATCCACAAACTGAAGGAAGACGGCAAGTTATTTGCACAGCTAGCAGACGCTGCACTCCTAGCTCTGCATGAAGGCTTTAATAGTGTTGGGATTTATGTTGTCTTTGATGTCTGCAGAAAAACTTCTATAAAGTATGCTAACAGATGCAACAGCGGTTCTGCCACAGGCACACAGTGGAAGAATACTGCACCAGGTCACAACATTCTGCAGTGGAAGAAATTCAAGGGAACCCTAAGAACAAAACGAGCCTAGTCAAGTTCTTGGTTGAACGGTGAACGAAGCCTGAGAAAATGAAGAAGCTTGAGGAGAAGTAGAAGAATAAAAACTATGTGACGTGGAGAAGTATGTTACCTCATCACCAAGGATCACTGGGATGAATTCCAAGTCCTGAAGACAACACAGGAGGAAGCTGATACATATGCTTTTTCATGCCTTGCATGCTGCACAGGATGGCTACAGATCAATAGTCATCACAGTTGAGGACACCGATGTGCTGATACTATGTGTTGGATTTAGTAAGAAGATCGCATGTCCCCTTTATCAGAAATCTGGTACCCAAAACCATACATGGTACAGTACATAAACATTAAACTTGCAAGCTCAGTGGAAGTAATCTGCAAGGGTCTTGTCGGATTACATTCTTTCCCTGGCTGTGACACAGTAAGTGCATTTGCAGGCCGTGGGAAGCTGAGCGCACCGAAGCTTCTGAAAGAATGCAAGATGTTCAAGCAGACCTTTCAGCATCTTGGTGAGAAATGGGATGTTTCAACAGACTTAGGAGTCTGTGTGCTGGATGAATGCATCCACATCTACTATCAAAGAGATTAACGAATTCTGTAATTTCTGAGGTAAAATCCAGCCCGCTGCCACCATGCAAAGACTGTTTGTATACGCATATCCTTCATTCAGATTATATGCAATTTGCTTGTGCTGTGCTGTTAGCCAGACAGTTGTCCCAGATCCCAAGAGTAGTGAAAGGACCACAGTAGATGATGGCAGACTGTCTATAGAATGAATGTGACGATCGCAAGCACCAGAAGCTGTTTTGCAGCTCAAGTCCTGCAAGTGTGTTTGTGCTGCAAAAATTCCACTCTGCATGTCTGAAGAACCAGCTAAATTGGAGAAATATGTGCAGACGGCAGACCTGCACAAACAAGGCTAAAGACAATGGAGAAGTAAATGTCCAGTTAGATGATTCTGATACAGATGTAGAACTCAAATAGTGTTTCTACCCCTTCTCATAAATAACACGACATATCACTGATCATGGTTAAATATTATCTATAGATACATGACATTTCAAAACACACCATTACAATTTGCCATCTGGCGTGGTGCAGAGATCTTAAAAATCTAATCTTGGCACATGAAATTGTCCATATGTCAGAGGTCAGAAATGTTTTAATGAAAAAAGAAAAGCTTTTTTGTTCTCTTCCTGTTTTAATCTCATTCATCAGATTACAGCGTTTCTCACCTCCAGGGAGCTCAGCGTCTTCTTTCCAGCCACTGACTTCTTGGCCTCCATCTGGTGCCGCAGAGAGGAAAGCTTCAAATCTTTCTCTTTCAGCGCTGGAACCTTAAGCTGTGTACAATAAGCTAAAAACCTGGAAATGTTGAGGATACATTTAACCAATCAGAATCAGTTTAGGCTTGAATGTAGGTTATTCATTTCTCACTAAAACGATCATGATAATCTACAAACAAACATCACACAGATCAAACTGGAACTTTCCTTTTAAAGCAGAAGTACGTGTCTTTAGGGGCCAGAATCTAAGCTAGTACAATATACTTTTCACTTGGCAGAAATCCATTATTTTTAAAGATTGGACTGTAAATTATGCATCATTAAAAACGTAAAAGTGAGTTTTACTATTTAAATTTACTGACAGATGAAGAATGGGCCATTTCTGACCCGTTTAATTAGCTTTACATCTATTGCAGTTTGGAAAAAAAATAAAATAATTACTTGTTTTTAATTATGTTCAAATGTTCTTGGCTCTCTTTCTTCTCCTTCCGCTTCAAAACAAGAGTTGCTCTGGAAAGAAAAAGATGTCTTGATTAACAATTACTCATCAACAGAGTAGTTTAATCCAAAAATCACATGAAATATGTAAACATTAATACACTAGTCAACTTTAACAATATTAAGGTGGCTTCAAACTTCCACATTTTCAACGAGGATAAAACTAGTTATTATTTTTTGACCCTGTGGAAACTGAAGTGCTGCTTGTACAGATCTGGACAGCCTGTTTGTTTTTATTCTTTATTGACTTTGAACAGGTGATCCACTCTTTCATTACCTCCCAACTGGTTTACTGTAACTATCTGTATGCTAGGCCCGTCTCTCACGGGACCAGAATGCTGCAGCACGTTTTTTATCACAAACAAAAAACCGTGAGTATATCTCCCAGGTGCTTCCCTTCGCTGACTCCCTGTTTGTTTTAGCATTGACTTTGAAGTTTTACAGTTGACCTATAAGAACCTAAACGTACTGGTTTCTGTAGATCTCCTGCAGACTGGCGTGTTAGATATAATATCAGTTATCAGGCTCCTCTCTTGTTGAACCAACTTCCAGTTTCTGTCCGTAAGGCTGACAGATGGTCCAGTTTTAAGACAGGACCTAAGACTTTCCTTTTTGATAGATCCTATAATTAGGATTGGCTTATTATGCTGCTATAGGCTTAGACTACTGGAGGACAAACTGACCTCCATCCATCCATTATCTTTACCCGTTTATTCCATTTTGGGTCACGGGGGTTGCTGGTGCCCATGTCCAGCAATCACTGTGCGAGTGGCGGGGTACACCCTGGACGGGTCGCAAGTCCATCACAGGGCCACATAGAGACAAACGACACAAACAACCATTCACTCTCTCACTCACACCTAGGGACAATTTAGAGTTACCAATCAGCCTAACATGCATGTTTTTGGTCTGTGGGAGGAAACCGGAGCACCCGGAGAAAACCCACGCATGCACGGAGAGAACATGCAAACTCCACCCAGAAGGCCCCTGGACCGGGGTTTGAACCAGGGACGACAAACTGACCTGATTTCTTGAAATGAATTGTTAAAATAGAATATCCTCCTGATGCATGCTCTATAATCCAGGTAGAAAAATCTAAAACAGTTAAGTCTGGTCCTCTGGATGTCTAGAGGACCAAACTTAACTTTTTCTAGATTAAAATAAAATAGTTTTCATTTGATACTATTTCAATCTTAACATGTGATTCACGGCCTGCCATTGTGTATCTGTTCTTCCTTCCTGTTCCTCTCAAACCCAGCCAGTCGAAGCAGATGGCCGCTTGTCCTGAGCCTGGTTCTGCTAAAGGTTTCTTCCTCACGAGGGAGTTTTTCTTTTCCACTGTCGCCTTCATGCTTGCTCAAGATGAGAGTCTGCAATGAAGTTAAACTCAAAGCAGTCTGCTCCTCAGAAAATTAATGTTATTAACTTACTTTATATATATATGAATGTTTCTGTTCAGTGTCCTGAGATGATTTCTGTTGGGACTTGGCGCTATATAAATAAACTGAATTGAATTAATTAACATTTGCTTTTAGCTTCACCCCAGATCCAGGCTGGTCTAACTGTTTTTATTTTTGTGGTCTCTTGCATTTCAGATTGTCTTTTGACTTATTATTGTTTTTATGTTCATTTCAACCAACAGCAGCTGTTTCGAAATGAGTAAGGTTTATAAATTTGACTTGATAGCACTAATTTAATACCATATAGAACACATGCAAGGAAGATCTGGGATGTCCTGTGTAGCTTTTACTGTGGTCTTCATCAAGAAACCCTCCAACTCAGAGTAGCTCCAAACTCTTTACGTGCATAAAGATGGTAGAGGTGTTAACGGATCCGTGTTAAGCTCACAGTATTGATAAGTCCATCATGTTCTCCACAGCAGTGATGGAGGAACTCGGCATCACCTTCCAATTGTCCTGAACTTTTTTCTTCTTGGAGACTGCAGCTGAACCTCCTTCATCTAATAGCAGCAAGATAAACAGTAAATCATACTAATGGCAAATAAGGCAGCATATTTAACTTTGTAGATACGGAGCAGTCCTGACCTTTCATCCTCTGATGTGTTTTGGAGTGTGTGGTTTGATCATTTCGCTCTTGGTCCTGTAGTCACAGCATCAGTAATTCACAAGAAACAAAGAAGGGTTCAACATCCGATGTTATAATCATCTTACTTCGTTCGGTGTTACTTCCGCTGACCTTTTGGCTTTCTTTTTGTTTTTAGTGACCGGTGCTTCTGATGAGGCTCTTTTAGAACCCCGAGCAGGTTTCATGCTAGCCAAGCTAACGGGACACACAGCGACTGTCGCGGTTAGAACTCGATTCACTAAAACTTTACGAACCAATTCAGCAACAGCTATCGAGTAACAATTTAATACGTTTTGCACAATCTTAATAAAACGTGTTAAAATAAAATGGGTTCTTAAAATTCAAAACTTCTGAAAACAAACCCGTTTTCGCGCTGTTGTTTGAACGGAAACACTATGTGCGCATGCGAGTTTGCAGCCCTATCGCTGCAGACAAATTCGGAAGGCGTATCTGGGGGGCCACATCTGATTGAACGATAGAAAATAGGCGTGACCAAAAGCCACATCTGATTGGACGATAGAAAAATAGGCGTGTTTAGAGGGCTACATCTGATTGGACAATATGAAAATGGGCGTGTTTAAAGGTCATATCTGATTGGACCAAAAGAAAAAGGCTGAACGAAGAAAAATAAGCCGTTTGTGTAAACCACACAGACATATTATGTCTAAAAACAAGGCGTTATTGGCAGATTGTGTTAACCATATGGTGTTAACCACAGGCATAGTATGTCTATGGTGTTAACCGGTTCAACATTGGCGACGTCTCGATTCGACATTAGCCGCGTCTCCATATATATCCATGGGCGTCTCCATAACTTCTCTATCCGCCTCTCTTAACACAAAACTTCCGGTTACATTTCAAAATAAGAGCAATATAACTGGGTAGTGGGGAGGGCTAAATATGTTTTTTTTTTTGTTTTTTTTTTAATACCTAGCCATTACATTAAAAACCAAAATCCATTTTGGTTGTTGAATAATGTGAAAATAGTTACATTCGATTCATAAAGAAAGAAAAATAAAGTAACCAAAATAATAATGATACTTAAACTGGCCTTGGGACAAAGGATGTTGCCTTTAACTTCACATTTTCTTGTTCAACCTTTTAAATCGGTCACTGCAGATGAGTGATTGTCAGTTTCTGTAAGATTTCTGCAACTGGAGCAGGTATTTCTGCTTACTGGTTAACTCTGTCTCACATTTTAAGGGTCAATCCTACTCCATGTTTCAGCTCCTTTCATAGATCAGATCTCATAGAGGAACACTTATAAAGAGCAAATTTAGCTTTTGTTTTAGGCCGTTATCTCGTCACAGGACTCATGATCTTTAATTGAGACCAGACTTTTTGACAAATGGGAGCAGGTTTTGCTTCAGATGCTTCATATGTCATTGTACCCAGACCACACTCAAGCCTACCTGTGTCAGGTGCAGCCTACAACCCAAGGACTAAAGAGAATCTTATTGTGTTTTGACAGCAGACATAATGCTGTTTCTTAGAAACCTTCAGTTTAAAAAAAGGCTGACATAACTTACCTAAAGAGCCAGAAAATACAGTTAGCCAATCAGTGTTTGCCCTCTACAAACGCCTATTCTCCAGAAGCAGCGGCAGTAGGACCAAGTAAACCCACATGATCAACAACTTTAGAAAAATTAATCGCTTTGTGGAAGTCGGCAGAACATATAGGGTCTGTTTCGCAGACAAGGCTTAAGTCTAGTCTCAGACTAAAATGCTGTTTGAGCTGGTTTAACTTTAAGTCCCTTGCACAGTCTTATCTCAAAATAGTTGCAGATTTAGTATGTAAACAAAGCCAATTGCAGGAAGGTGGATCAGAGCTATTCTGTGACTAAATTGAAGCTTAAATTAATCCTTCAAAGAGTCAGGTTTAGTATTGTTTGTGAAAGGGAGCAGACAGTTTGGCAGCATGGAGTATTTAGAATATGAACACCATCATACACAACGGAGGCCGTCCAGAAGAGCACTTGTGGATAGAAGTAGTCGAACCTCTTTGATAAAATAACATTCAGAGACCACTTTTGTATGTATAAAGAAAATGCATTGGAACTAATTACTTTGCTTGAGCCTAGACTTTCCTCTCTGAATCAAAGAGGAAGGCCTGTACCCAGTTCTCCAAGTTCTGATCACTTTGAGATTTTTGGCATGTGCAACTTTCCGCCGGGAAACAGCAGATTTGTGTGGTGTGAGTGAATCAACTGTCTGCAAAATAGTGCACAAAGTCTGCAAAGCTATATGTGAAGTGAGAAAGGATTACATCAAGTTCTCAGCTGCTGTTGATCTCACAGCCTACAAGCTACAGTTCTATGAATACGGGAACTTTCCTGGAGTAATTGGCTGTATTGATGGGTGTCATGTTCCCATTAAGTGCCCTTCAACAGAAGATGCTGAGCTGAACAGGAATCATGAAAACTGGTTTTCAATAAACGTACAGGGTGTCTGTACTACCACTATGCAGTTCTCAAACATTGTTGCACGTTGGAGCGGTTCAACACACGACTCAAGGATTTCCCAGAACTCCTCTTTGTGTGCTCAGTTTGAAGCTGGAAAACAGTGGAGTCCAACTTGGCGACAGTGATTATGCACAGACACGGTTCTTGTTTACTCCTTATCTGCATCCAATCAGGCCTGAGCAGCAACACTACAACCAAGCCCACATCCACACCAGAGGGCTGGTGAAGTGCATGTTTGATATCTGGAAGAATCGTTTCCAATGTCTCAGGACTACGTTACGTTTTGAACCAAGAAGATGCTGCATTGTTATTGTGGCAACTGCAGTGCTTCATAATTACTTCAGACAGCATGGCTGTGTAGACCCATCAACTGAATATTACAATAACCCGCATGTTCTCATGGAAGTAGCCAATGACAAAACTAGACCTGCTTATATAGAAATAGAAACAGCTTTGCTCTGCATTTCATAAAGAAAAGGAAGCTGGAAACCGTTGAGTGATCCACAAGTGCTCAGTTTGATTTTGTCCGACTACATTTTTAATCATTTTGAAAATTGTTATAGAAAATATGGTTCATTACTGAATAAATTTTGGTTGAATTGTGATTGTAATGTAACATTTTTATTTCATAATGGCACAAGGTCAACAGAGACATTGTTAGAAAAAACACGGACGTTTTGCTGCTCCTGTTGCTGCTGCTTCATGTCTCTCTCCATCTCTTTGACTGACAACTCCACTTGAAGGATTTTTATCTTGAGTTCATGTTCTTCTTTTAGATATTGCAATTTGTGCTCATGAAACTCAATAGCAAGTTTTTCATGAATAGTCAGCCTTTTCACTCTTGCTGTGCTGCCTGGGATGGAGATACTGGCTGCTGCCGCAGGTGCAGAGGTCTGATATTTCTGACTCTGTTCTGGCTCCGCCGACATCTGATTCAAGCTCAGGCCGTCTTTTTCTAGAGAGAATTACAATATAAGACATAATATTTCAATAGTATTTTTCCTTTTTATTCATAGTGCAAAATATGGTGCTATTTAGCTTACCTGGGCAGGGCAATACACATAGGCACACACATTGTAACAAAGAGTATTGAAGAGTTTTCCCACCTGAACTGTCCAGATGATCATCATCTGGGATGCCTTCCAAGGGATGTTGGTTTTCAATCATCCCACTCAACAAATCTCCCTCGGTCTGTGGTGTAGTTGGGGCTCCTCCACCCGTCTTGAAACAATTCAGCTGTATTTTGTTTTTCCACGTGACCTTTACAAGGCAATATATGGCCTCATATGAGCAAACATACATTTCATCGTGAGTGATTAGAACAATCAGGATACTGTAAATAATATAATTAAATTTTACCTGAATCTGTTGGGAGGATCCTGTTGATAACTTTTTCATTTGATTTATATTCATTCACAATTGCAGCCCGTGTTTCGTTTTTTTTATTTCTGTGGATGAATCATGTTTGTCCTGAATTATGTGATGTTCTAAAATAATTTCCTTCAAAAGCATCTTCTCACTTTCACCGAAGTTTTTTTTGAACGCTTTCTTTTTCCAATGTCCATGCTTGGTCAGAAGTAAAACTCCCGTTCCATACACATAGACTGCTAAAATTTATAACAGGAAAATTCCACCCCAGGTTTTCAGAGATACCTCACCTTTGCACCATGTGCACATTGTTAATCTGATTGGCTTCCAAGACATGCTCTGAATGGTCCTTGATTACCTTAGTCAGAGACTCTGTAGTCTGGAATGACTTAATCTGAAGTTAAACAGCATCTCAGAAAGCAATTAGATTAGTGTGGATTAAGTTAGACAAGATTAGTTTAGTCCTGGTTTTATTTAAGCCCTGACTGCGAAACCGGCCCATAGAAAGTAAATGAATCTCCCGTAAAACAAGCCCAGTTTGATAAGACAACACTATATCTGTGCCTGTAAGACAAAACGCAGGGCAATTTAACTAAAATAAACTCGAGTCTTTAGTTACTGACTGTAGGACAATGTTTTACATTTAATGTTACTGTATGTTTTTTGCATTGCATTCTTGCACAGCTTATTGCATAAACTGATAATCAGTGTTATGGACACTATCCTTTTAGCTTCAATTTTTCATGAGCTGAACTCAAAAGATCTAGGACTTTTTCAATGTACACAAAAAGCCTTTCTCTCAAATATTGTTCACAAATTTGTGTAAAACGGTTAGTGAGCGCTTCTTCTATGCTGAGCTAATCTATCTACCTCACAGGCGTGGTGTAGAGATGCTGTATTAAGATAGTTTATTTATTTAGCTATGTTCATAATTTTGTTCTGTGCATCTGACGTGCCGAATGAGTCTGCGAGAGAATCAGAGAACATTTTTTTACTGAATCAACAATTTCAAGTGAAAAAAACGGTATAATACAATTTAACTTTTGCTTTTTTAACTGTATTATATATATATATATATATATATATATATATATATATATATATACATATGTGTGTGTGTGTGTGTATGTGTGTGTGTGTGTTTTTAAATAGTATTACCAGTTTGCAAAAAATAAGTTGAACTTCTAATTTTACAACTATTTTCTTTTATTTTTTCATCCGTCCAGAGGACCTTAACTTTTTTTTAGATTTTTCCAGATTATTGAGCATGAATAAGGATATTTTTCTTTTATATTTAACAGTTGTGGCCAGCACGGTGGCGCAACTGGTGGAACTGTTGCCTCTCAGTGAGCAGGTCCCTGGTTCAAATCCCGGTCCAGGGGCCTTTCTGGGTGGAGTTTGCATGTTCTCTCCGTGCATGCGTGGGTTTTCGCCAGGTACTCCTGTTTCCTCCCACAGACCAAAAACATGCATGTTAGACTGATTGGGAACTCTAAATTGTCCCTAGGTGTGCGTGAGAGAATGAACGGTTGTTTGTCTCTATGTGTCCCCGTGATGGACTTGCGACCCATCCAGGGTGTACCCCGCCCCTCGCACAGTGAATGCTGGACATGGGCACCGGCGACCCCCGTGATCCAAAATTGAAGAAGCGGGTAAAAGATAATGAATGGATTTAACAGTTGTGCTAAGAATGCTCTACAATTTAATCTAACAAAGTTAAGTAATGTCCTCTGGACGGATTTTAAAAAGCTGTTGAAACGTTTTGTCTTTTATCCAAAAGACTTCCTCAGTCTGAGGAGCTGCAACAAACTCAGTCTTATGACAATGAATGACAATAAAGAAACCATGACCTTATAAATAGCACCTATAGTGGATCAACCAGTTTGCTGGTGACAGCTAAAACTAGCTGTTCACATGGTAAAGGAAGACCACCAGCCTAACGACCGATAGTTAATGCCCTGATGGCTGCTTGCTATTCACAGGGGGCTGAGTTAGTAAAAGGTTGGATTTTTCTACCTGGATTATTGCGCATGTATCAGGATAGTCTACAATTTAAGTTAGCGTTCACATAATTCACATTTTAATTTGTAGCTTAAGAGTCAAAACCATCAAGTTCAATATTGACATATGAAATAAAGTTTATTTCACAGGAGCAAGTTTGTTTCAGTAAAATGTGACACTGTAACAAATAAGGAGAAGACAAAAAAAATCCCGTATTTGACTGAAAATTTAAATATCTTCACTCATGTGATCCAGATGTCGGAGGACTGCATCAACAACTGTCCCTCAGGTCTGTCACAACCTCCACGGGAAGAAAAATTTGCCTGAATGGCGTCCATGGTCGCGCAGGTCCAAGGGACTGAGAACCCTCCTGATACCCATCATGTTGCCCTGAACTACCTTCTTAAAGGTCCAGGGGTTCTGGTTATTTTGCTCCATCTCCTGACGCAACCTATGCATTTCTGCAAGACTCTCTCTGCTCACCACCTACAATAAAACAGAGAAAAGGATCGCCACACATGAAAACCATGACACTTTTCTGATGGTTAAATAATCATGACCACTGAGTAGAAACTATTTATCAATACTGGACCAGCCTGTAATCATTGCTATTAGCCCAGTCATTCAAATAACATAAACTGAAAACAATTTTTAAGTGTACGCCAAAACCTAAAAAAAAAGCATAACTCCATCTTTTGAACTCCAGCTGTGATCTCACCTTGGCAGGGAAAGGCAGCTTCTTAGCCACTTCAGTTAAGAATTGTTCAATCTCGCCCAGATCAATCTTTCCTCCCAACTCCACAATCAAACGTCCGGCACGAACTGGGGTCACGTAGTATTCAATGTCTCCTTTACCCCCACCCATGCGATGACCCAGACTTTTACTTGTGATGGGCTTATATGGGGCATTAATGCGCCACCGGGCGAATGTCGTTCGGGGATCCATCTTGCGATTAATAGTCAGACGTATCATCTCGAGATGACCCCAACGCAAGTAGCCCCCACCCATGGCCTTATCATTGGAGAAAGAAAAAAAAGAAAACAAGGATTAGTCAGTCAAGATTTTTCCACCGGAGATTATTAAGTTCAAATGTGTGTAGACAAAAAAAAAAAAAACTAGAACTAAAGGCACTTAATTTAAACAAAGTATTGTTTCTCGATAACACTGTATATTATGAACAGAAGAAAAATATCCAAGTTATTTTGTAATTGCATTATTTAAAAAAGCTTCAGTTCAGTTATCACTTAACACTTTCGGTAGGTGTTAAATCCACTCACTAGAATGCCGAACTGTCCATTCAGGAAGGAAGTTGCAGCCTTTGATGGGCCTTGGATATCTCGCAGCTTCCTCGGCTCTTTTTTGGCCTTTTTTAAGTTAGGCACCTTTTCCAGAAACTTCAGCTTGGGTTTTTCTGGCAGCACCACATCTTAGATTAAGAAAACAAGCACAAAAAGTCATAAATAACATTCACACATAGCAGCAGGTTAAAATATTGAATATATATTAAATAAAATGAAAGATATCATGAACTCTACAAGTTTATGTCTCTATGAAGTGCAAAAACTAACACTGGACAGAGCACAGCTAATTATATTAACTGATGGGTTGTTGTTTTTTTGCATCAATATATTTATTTTATTCCTAAATCAGTATATGACTTATTGTTATTATTATTTCCAAGATGGCCGCGCTCAGCTGAGTCGCAGCTTCACAGGCTCCCGGTGAACTCAATCTTTTTTTGTTCCTGTTGTTTTTGCTTTAACCTTTTTTTGCGCCTACAATGCACATCCACAGCACGGGTATGACTGCGACACACTTGTGGACTTTTCTATCGCTGCCTTGCCATCTTGCCATCGTGGTTCAGTCCTTCCAGCCTCAGGCTCAGGCCTGTCATGGAGGCTGTCTCCATGATCCTCCATATGCCTGCACAGACTGAACTCTACTGATCCCCTGGGTTCCACGGGGAAACCTTGGATGTTCTCCGTTTGCTGGACCCGGTTCTGGAGGGCAGTCTGGGAGGCAGCTGCTGCAGTCCTTATTATCATCATGCTGCTTAAGGGACCTGCTAACAAGACCTGCTAATGCTGATAACACCACACCGCTAACAGTACCATGGTGCCAACGGGACCATGGTGCTAAGAGAAACCTCACTGCTAACAGTAACATGCTGCTAATTGGACCATGTTGCTAGGATAACCGCACTGTCATCAGAACCACTCTGCCAATTCATTCAACCTTTATTTAGACAGGTAAATCCCATTGAGCCTCGAGGACTCATTTACAAGAGAGACCTGAATAGGACCATGCTGCAGTAGATTAATTTCTTGTTCACTTTTGGTGCCTTGTTTCTGTATTTTTGTTGCATGCTTTGAATAAATCCTAGTTTATGTTAGTTTAGTTTAAGTTAGTGCGCACATTAAACATGTAAATTATAGCAGAACAAAACCTATGAAAATCGTGCTGCTGTCGTTCGGTGTATTGTTTTGCACTAGTAGTGACTGGCATATATCTTAGATCTTTTAGAGTACCATTTGGCATTCGTTTAGTGTATATCTTAGTTTATATCTCAGATCCTCATTTACAGTTTCTTTTTACACTTTATATTTTTGCTACCGTTTGATGTAACTGGGACCCTGTGTACATAATTTTGTTCCACTACATGTACCACATGTGATGCAAATGACAAATAAAGAAACTCTGACTCTCTGATTACAGCGGCAAAGTCAATGCTGCTTTTAAAATCATGTTTTAGAACTGCATGTGTATTTATAGATCTATGAGTTTACAAAAAGTCTACAATTTCTGTTTTCAGAGTGTGTTTTTAAATGTTTTTGTCCAATGACACGTTTATTCACCTGAAGAAGTGAAATTATCAAATAAATGACAAGATAAGTGATTACCACTGAAGTTAGGAGGAATAGTAAACGTCTTGATTCCAGCAGTGAGGACTTTCAAAAAGCTCTGCAAAGGAACTGTAGAGAAAAGTAGTGAGACATTTAAGAATCAAAACTTACAAACAAACAAACAAAAAAACCCTGACAGCCATAAATAATGTTGCTCAAAAAGTTAAAAATCAAAGCTCAAAACTTGTTTCTATTGAGAAGAATAGCTTATCTTTAGATGTGTCTTTAAGTTTAGAGGTAACACTGTTAAACTGGTCCAGTTTAATGTACTTTTGTTTTAATTCTCTCCACTTCGTGTAGCTTTAGCATAATTAGCGTTAGCCATTTACCTTGCTGGTGACCGTGAGCTCTGCAGGCTCCCGTCAGCCCGTGGGCCGCAGCCTTTACGAAGAACATTATTATGTTAAATTTTAAATAAACTATATTAATACCTAACAGTCACTTTGTGTGACCCGATTACGGGCGCTTCAAAATAACAACTGTTTATTTATTTCTTAAAAAAAACATCACCGCTTGTACGAGGACGCGGCCATGATTTTACTGCCAACTTCCGCCAAAACACGGGACGTTTCCTGATCCTGTTTGGAGAATTTTCACAATAAGATTCACAATAAGTTTTAAACTTATGACGCTTGAGTCTGGAAAGCCATTACATTTCTATTTAAATGTTTTATTTCTTGGGAACATTTATTTACCTAATGGAATATTTATGAATCATTTTAAATAACACAATTTTTTATTTATATAATTTTAAATGGCTTTCCATATTATAGTTTGGACCTTTAGTTGTTCTTTTTGGATTGTTTTAATATTTTATTTTAATATAAAGCAGAATCTATCAACACAACATGAAGAGAACACGTTGTTCCACAGAAAACAACTATATATATATACATATATATATATATATATACATATACATATATATATATATACATATACATATACATATATATATATACATATACATATACATATA